GCTGCTTCTTGCTCTGGGAGATGTAGCTGTCTCCAAGATGGCCGAAACAGCCGACGTACACGTACCCAGCGTCTCCACCATTAATGTCACGAACAAAACAATACCTACAGCCAGGAGTTCCCCTGAACCAGAGCAACGAAAAGGTTCTCTTCTTCTTCGCAGCCCCAAAACAAGTATGAGCCACCACGTCCCGTTCATCAATGGTGGCAATATGGTGGTTTTGGGACGTTAAATCCCATATATCAATCAATCAATCATGCTCAAGTTGGAGCAGCCAACGGCTTAATGGTTTATCAGTACAAGGATAAGCGGGCGTCTGCGCGCGCGAATGCCGAATAATCTTTGGCGTGTGGTTCACCGTCGTCTACTCTTCTCGAACCGGAAGCCAGTAGCAGATGGTGCATCCCACAAGCCCTCGCCCTTTTACTGGTCACCTAATTGATTCAGAATGCATGGGTTCCTATGGAAGGTTGGGAGAGTGTGAAACCGCGTTCTCCGCCAACGCCTCCTAGATTTCCCGTGCCTGCCGGATTATCGGCGGTGACTTGGGAAGCGGCGGTCGTTGGAACTACGGTGGTGGCGCCATTCAAGTAGGGGTGTCTTTAAATGGGTTTTTACGTTTTTGGATCTAATATGCACAAAAATAACATAAAAAAGGTTTAAAAATGCGTAAACGTAATTATAATTAACCCAACGTAAGTAACGCTGTCATTCACCAAGCAACTTTTTTAACAGAAGACATCCTCTAAAATTAGTAGCAAACGCCAAAATTGCCGATCTCAAAGGCCAAGTACAAAGACTCTTATTTCTACGTAGGCAGCGCCGCCATGGATGACCGCCGTTTCGCGCTCATCCGGCAGGCACAAAAAGTCTAGGAGGCGTTCTCTCCGCCCTAGTCAAGCGGCAAGCCGAGCGGTGGCGCCACCATGACAGCACGCGACGCGAGAAAAAAAGCCTATCAAATTCCTTTTAAAGAAGTGTATACTTATAAAATTGAAACATCTTAGACAAATTACTACCGTTTTCGTTCATCTTTATTAGCTTACGAGTTTTCCTACCCCACAACACTTGTTGGTAAGCTATGACGATGAGTACAGTTTCGAGGCTATGAAAAATAATTCTTGAAAAGACAATGTTTATTTCAAGTTGGTGACTTTGCATAGTTCAATCAATATAAGTACTGGGTATATTCTGAATATAAAAGATTGCTTCTCTGACCAGTTATATATTTTTTCCAAAGTACTTGTGTAACATTCCTGAAATATAACTGATTATTGCGTTGATTTCTTACATGCAAAACCAGGATCGCTAAGCGGGTAGTTTTATGATGTGCCAAATTGAGTGCCAAAATTTTTAACGACTACTGTACCTGTATTTTTCTATTATTCTGTGCTCTTTCGGAGCCATTTTTTACACGGCCTGTGAGGCCCACGGGACGGCTTTCAGCTCTCCCATAGTAGAGTACCTAGTACTCTGAATCGTTAGCCACCTATTTTAAACACACGACGAAAGCAGTGCCATTAATGCGCACTGCTCAATGCACGCAAGTATAAGAAAAAATAAAATGCAACATTACGATATGGCGCTATCGGCTGCTATCAATTATTGCTCAATTCGCGATTTGGCGGAGATACTGCGGTAGGATTTTTGAAACAATAACGAGACGATGCCGCCAAAAAAAAAAAAACTGAGCCATCGTGGTAACCAGTGGCCCCGCCGCGGTAGTCTAGTGGCTAAGGTACTCGGCTGCTGACCCGCAGGTCGCGGGATCAAATCCCGGCTGCGGCCGCTGCATTTCCGATGGAGGCAGAAATGTGGTATGCCCGTGTGCTCAGATTTGGGTGCACGTTTATGAACCCAAGGTGGAGCCCTCCACTATGGCGCCTCTCATAATCATATGGTGGTTATGGGACGTTAAACTCAACATATCAATCATCGTGGTAACTAGTGATACCACACTGCTCAGACTGCGATGCTTAAAACTAGTCATGATCACGCTGTCGACGTGCGGAAAGAAATGAAGCTTCAACAGTGCAGCTGTTTGAGCTCAAAGCCAGAGAGAGAGAGCGAGACAGAAACACTTATTTGCATGGTCCGAATAAGCTTGGTGCATGGCCGTTACTGTAAATAGAAAACTTGGCGGTATGAGTCACCAAAAGCCGGTATGGACCAAGCAGCTCGAAGCACAGAATAGCTCTGCATTGTATAGTATAGCGTGGAGAAGGCAAAGGGAAGTGATGGGGTGAAGGAAGGAAAGAGGGAGGGGCGAGAGTAAAGCATGACATAGCCTTACGATGTATAGTTTAGCATGAGTATGGGAAATGGATGTGACAGCGAGGAGGATTGAGGTTGGGGTGAGAAGGAGGGAGCATAGTTGGGGTATAGAAGAGGCGAGAAGGCAAGCTACAGCATTACCACGTACGTTACAGCATAGCGAGGGGTAGGAAATGGAAGACAGGATGAAGAGGAATGATGTGAGAGAATCGAGGAAAATAGTAAGGTGGGATGAGTTAAGAAGAGACAATGCTTACGAACGCACCCCTGTCTACCAAAACTCCATTCAGTTATTCTTCTATTCATTGTCATTTGTGCGTAAAGCAAACCTGCAGCGGAATTCCCAAAATGAACAATGTTCGTTGTGACAAGGTTTGGGAAGACGCCTTGATGTGGCGTGTCACCCTAGGGGACCGTTTATTTTAGGGTGATGTTATCCTTATTTTATTTGACCAGAATGATGTTGAATGTTGGGACAAAGCCATCCTAGACAAGCACCGGGAAGGAGCAATTTTCGATTATTATTTCGAAAAGCACAGACTATCGCAGCTCGCTGAGCTCGTACTTCCGCCGACGTTTAGTCGCGTTAATTATACATGGGATGACTCGGAGTGTGCAGGGCGAAATGATGCCTTGACCACATGCGATGGTCGAAGAACTACTGCATTCCGTAAGGAACATTCCAACAGACATGATGCCACCTTGCAACATGACACATATAGGCGTATTACTAAACCAATTAAACCCAAGATCATTCATTTGGCAAAGACCACTGCAGGTTTGCTCTACGCACAAAGTACAATATATAGAAAACTAACTGATTGAAGGTAGACATAGACGAGTCAGTTAGCACCGTCAGTTGTCACTCATTCTGCCTTAAGAAACGTTCACTGGCAAGACTCCTAATGTGCGAAGCTATGACAGAACTTCCCAAATACTCAATACGTGGTATGGTTTGTATAGAATTCCAAGGCAGCAAGACGAATGTCGAGGTCCTAATTGTACACGACACTGTATTTAATTATCTTGTGGCTTGGCCTCACATAAAGCGAATGAGAATAAATGTATCATGGAGCGATGACGTAGAAAGCGAACATTTAGTTGAAAATGTACACGAGAATGAACCTCTGATTGATTGATTGATTGATTGATTGATTCATCCTTTTTAATTATTAATATCTGGGGTTCAACGTCCCAAAACCACCATATGAGTATGAGAGATGCCGTGTTGGAGGGCTTCGAAAATTTCGGCCACCTGGGGTTCTTTAACGTGCACCCAAATCTGAGCCCACGAGCTTACAGCATTTTCGCCTCCATTGAAAATGAAGCCGCCGCAGCCGGGATTTGAGTATGAACCTTTGTCGAAGCTGGTAACATCAAGTGCAGATGTATCAACACAATATTCAGAATTAATACGTATTGAACAACATCCACCTGCGGCCAATGTTCCTGGAGTGCCTTTCAAGGTCGGTGACGCTGCTGTCGTACGCAGCAACTCATACGGCCATACCACATGTTAAAAAAAAGAAGTGATTGATGCAAAAACTGGAAGGCTTGCTCAAGGTGGAGGTTATTCAGCCTTCTGCATCCTCGTTTGCATCATTGATTACTATAGAGACGAAAGAGGATGGGACATACAGAATGCACTGACTATGAGCTTGTCAATCGCCAGACCGACCTAGTTCCTCACCCGATGGCCAGAATTAAGAAAATGATCGATAAAATGGGTAGCCGCTCATGGTACTCCTGCATCGAGCTCTGCAAGAGACACAGTTAAGTTCCACTTGAAGAGCACTTACCTTACAACGTTTGTTGCGCCCTTCGATGTGTTTGAATACAACAGACTGGCATTGGGTTGGGAAAATGCGAAGCCTATTTACAAAGAATGCATGTTGTAGGAACCACCTATCCAACGAAGAGGCAGTTGCCAACAAGGTACTGCTAAGAGAACGCCAGCAAAGGGGAGAAACAATAATAATAAATTAAGCCAAAGAAAGTGAACCACCTGTACATACCGTCATTTTGTTCCTCTGGTTTCTCCAGTTTCCACTTTTGGCCGTATTTTCAGAGTATTGTCATGTGCCAACTGAGGCAGCAAGCAACCAGTATGAGTAGTACCTAAAGACTATTGGAACGCACTAATTTTTTTTTATCGTGCTAGCCGTTGTGAAAGTGAAGGCATATTCCAATTTTTCTTCTTTAGAAACCATGAATGAAAGTGCGAATGTCGCGGAAGCCGGCACCTTCAAGCTCCTGTAGCTCATAAAAAGAATCGTGTTTTGGTAGAAAATATTCCACGTTTTTATGACAGTCGGAACACGATGCATATCAGATGTTTTGTTGGCGTAACCTCTCAATGGGTATTTATTTCAGTCGATTTCATAGCCCCCAAAGCGGAGTTTGGCCGAACTTGGCAAAAACCGTTATGACAAGGTGGCTGGATTTGTGAAGTGCGGCGAAAATAATGAAAAATGAAGTTGAAAGTCACATTATAGAGCTGCTGTTGTAGACCTATAGCAACGCAACCATGGCGCATTTTTTTTGTTTATGACATACCACGAAATGAATGAAAAATGAAATGGAAAGCTGCATATAGGTTCTCTGCAGTCAACTTCAAGTTGTAGAGCTGTAGAAAGGTAATGTAACGAGGAATGACAGGGTGAAGTACACAGAGGCGTATGGTGGCCACCTGCGAATCTAAACCAGCATAGGGAGTATGTACGCACCGAGGGCAAAGGCTGGAAGCCGTGGTTCTCCTTGACGCTCGATGACTGGTGCCACAGTGCGGCAAGTCTGTGCACCGAGCAGCGGCCGGAGGGTTGGCTGCAGCTGGGCCTCATCGTCAGGCCTCGGGCAACGCCCAGGTCCACCAGCTTGTTGATTAGAAGCAAAGCGGTGAACTGCAGTGCCTGTCCACCACGCAGGCTGCTCAGCGCCACGCGTAGAAGGTGACACATGTGCGCAGCCACCATGTCTTCGTCAGCCGCCGGGTGGCCCGTGTCGCTCTGCACGGTGGTCACCGTCTGCGAGCGCAGTGCATGCAAACAAGCGCGATTCACCAGTTTATTCTTATTCTGTGATTCCAGATAGTGTGCACTGTACGAAAGGAGGCGGGGAACATTTCGAAGTTCACTGCCTGTGTAAATAAATATGTAAATAAAGTCATGACACAACGTAGTACCGCGCCATGTTGGTCTATAGTTGTCACGGTGCTTGACTGCTGAGCAGAATGCCGTGGGATCAAATCCTGGACGCAGCGGAAACCCAGGTGGTCAATATTTTCGGAGCGCTCCACTATACGGCGACCTTCTTAGTTACATGGTGGTTTTGAGACGTAAACCGCCTCAATTACTATGTTATAACTGTGTAGTAGAAGTGAATGAAGAGGAATACTACAAGAATGAAAGAAAACAAATCAAGTTTTCTGTTAATAAAGTTATACCGGGATCAATACATATGTTACCATACATTGCAATCTGATGGATCTTACTAGCATTTAGAATATTTAATGCGTTCGCGCCACATCCTAAAGCACTTCGTCTCCCTCTTTCTCTCAGCCCGTATCCCCCAACAACATTCCAACGTTATCTTTTGTGATCAGGTGGACTTGGGACTTCACAGCAGAGGTACCTCTTATGGGGCAGGGTTGTGTCTCACTCCAGAGGGGCGGAATATGTTATTTCTAGGTGTCTGTTATAAAATGCCGTAGTGAACAGTATTCGAACACGCAAAAAGTTTTGATTACAACAAAGAACTTCAGACATGACGTCACAATGCCGGGTTCAATCGACACGTGAAGCGGTGCGATTTTTGCTTGCACTAAAGCTTCTTTGCTCCCCTAACTTGGCACTTACCGTGCGCTGCAGTGCGCTCTGCGTTCTCCGAGATGCAGCTCAGCTTGTCATGTTCTTAAGCGTTTCCTATTTTAAAGCGTAATCTTTCAAGAGTTCACGACAACAGCCGATTTCGCGGGCGATGTGCGAAGTTCACCACCACTGACGCGGGTGTCCATGCAGCAATCGTGTACAATGAGGGGAAAAAGAAAGCAGGGTTCGGTCCAGAATCAAACCCAGGTACTCTGCCCTGGTAGTCTATTATTTCACCACTAAGCTACGCCTGCGAATGAACATACTTCGAAAACACTTTACAGGCATGAGGTCGGGTGACAAGTCGCGTTACAAGATGTAATATTCCGCCACAGAAGCGTACAGTCGCACTTGGTGTCACGCCATATGAGTTGCGCAACGAGTGAATGGGTTCAGGCTGTTCACCCATTACAAAGTAATCCATTCTATTTGATTGTCACCCTTATTTGCCACAGCATTGAGAAAGTGATAAAGTACTTATAGGTGCACACATTGCCTTGCAGACGCGTCGTATAGGCATGTACATACATATACGTAGACCGCTGCACCCTAAAGTGAAGATGGTTAACAGAGTAGTTTGTACTTCGCAATCGTATTTGCACTTTGAATGTTTAACAGGTTGCAGCTATTCTAAGACATGACGTCTTTCCATGAAAACTAGCCTCTTTTCTTTTTGTCGTCCTAGAGTCGACAAGCCTTAATGCGTTACCCTTCTGCATGTAAGCACATCTATTACATATATAGGCGACTGGGATATTTTGGTTGTCACATCTTGAAGACTTGAGCAGTACAATAAAGAAAGGGTGTTAATAATCTACACTATAAACACTCGCGTGATAGATTCCGACAACTAAAGCACTTTTTGTAAGCAAATCACCCAGTTGTGACATGTTTCAAAGGGCTGCTGCCTATACCAGTCCAAGCATATTTACCAAGTGCGCGACGGTCACTTGAATAGATTGCTCTTTCAAGAAAAAATTATTGCTTTTTTAAAGCCCAAGATAGCATAAACGAAGAAGTGCCTATTTTTTCCAAACATCTGTTCGCATCATTCTTTTCGTGGCGAAAGGGGGAAAAAGAGGGAAAGGGCTGAAAATATTTTTGTCAGTACTATACGTTGGAACATTTCGAGTAAGTTAAGAAAGTGTGTTTTTTTTCAAGGTTTTCGGCACCTTTGTAGAAACAGCGGCTACACTGATTACTTCTGTAAGTAGGCAATAGATAAGAAGTAAACACAGACGCTGATTTGCATAGCTTTGAAGTACAAACAGCTCACGTTCGGGCTTTGTTCACGCTTGCAGCAGTGTATTTTGGTACCGCGTAAGCAATCTTACAACGAGCTTTCTTTGGCTGCAACGTTACTATGAGAACAAGTTTCAGCAAATCTAGGCGGAGGTGCATATTGCTAGTACTAACATATGGGGCTGGAACTTTGGGGGTAACGAAGCAAATCGAAAGAAAAAGTCATAACCACGCATCGTGCGGGGCAACGTGAAATGATAGGCATAACATTTAAAGACTAGAAGCAATAACTGCGTATCAGAGAACGAACAGTTGTATCTGACAAGGAAGGCAGGCTCAAACTTGGAGATCACCGTTCGCCACCCTAGAGGAGAGAGGGCAAAGCTTTGGTTGCTCGGACAGGCCGCGCTTGCTTGGTTTTCTCCCAATGCGTGCTCGGAAAACATGTTCCTTTGGGCTTTTATCTCGCGTTTTACACGCTATGGGCGCCGCTCCTTCGTCATACTGAAAAGCACGCGCACACTCCTGCTGAATTGTGAACAGAAATTTAAAAGTGACGAAGAGCTGAAAACTTCCTGTGAAGTTCTACCGTTTCCAAAGAAAGCAGTGCGAGAAGCAATAATGCCAAGAATAGATTATGGCAGTTCGTTGATTCTTGCGCGCTCCTGTCATTTACAAGAATTTTTCGCCACGCACAGTATTGCCAACAATTATCGGGGAGAAACCTGACGGCCCACCTCATATGAAAAGGAAGTGCGTTTGTAAGCTGAAGCTGCAGAAAATAGACAACCGCTGTACATTTTGAGATTGGGCACTGGCTTTCCAAGACAACCACACGTAATGCGACAATGGCGGAGCTTTCTCACTTAATAGACGTACCACAGTTAAATACTGCGACGGGAGCCGTGCAAGTGTTTTATTCAGCTGGTGTATGTAGACTTCTCGTAGCCACTCAGTGTGAACAGATTTATGCTGCATGTTCTCGGTGAGAATTTATACGTACAGGTCTTGCAAGTAAGACCTACCGATAAGTTAGCAGGCTGAGGTGTTGTGACGCTAGAATAGAAGTGATGACTTCGATCGCCGCATACGCCAGCTGAATTTCTATGAGAGCGAAAGTTAGTAATACTGTGCTTGGATTTAGGTGTAAGAATGAAAGGAAACGCTTGTTGGTTTAGCATATTTCAAGCGTACCTTGGTATGACGCACAATGTAACCAGAAGGGGCGCTTGATGTGTGCACACCCTCTGTCCGTTGTCACCCCTTAAACTTCCAATAGATTTAGGTGCACGTTAAAAAAAAAAAAAAAAAAAAAACTAGTGGCCGGCATAGTTTGAGTTTCACAACGCTGCGATCCTTCTAATGGGTTTACGGTTTCGGCACGTAAAATATTATATCCTTGCATGCCTCTGAGTCGCAGGCGATATACAGCTGCCGCTATGAAAACTAGCTGAAAAATTAACAAACACGGCAATACAATTTTCGGTGCTTTCGCGAAAATAGACGCGGTTATGAGGGGCGAATCACGGCGTAATCAAAAACATGCTTGAACCTGATGGGAAATATTACAAAGAGGCCAAGCGAGCTGTCAAAACAACCAAACTGTCAATAGAAATAGTGATCACGCTTCGTGATCAGGCGTGGATATTATCTGCACTGAAACATGCGCTGCAGAAAACATGCATGGTCAAAGTGAGCGTAAAAAGTTGTTTTTTTGTACGCATAAGTATGCTTTAGAAGAAGCAGTAAAAAAATTCAATGTGGCATTGTCCTGACAATAAGACGTTGTTATTATCCGATGAAAACCCCAGAAAAAGTAAAATTCTTATGAAACTGAACACTGCGCATTGCAATGGTGCCGGCGACTCAACACGTGGGACGCAAGTTTAGGCTTTTCACACAATTTAAAGCTGTACGACAGACTTGCCATCAAAGAAATCGAAATCAGAACGCTATATACAAACGCATGCGAAAGCGTGGTGGTGCGTAGTACCGACAGCTCCACGATGACACGACTGCCGCAGCAAATGCGTGGTTTACCGGCGACGTATACGTATGGAATTCGCACCATCACCTTAAACATAATGTCATAGAAATGTGGCTGTTCACCATCCCCACGTACATTACACTCGCTAAAAGAAGTCGTCTTTGATTGTTTGATACATGGAGGTTAACGTCCCAAAACCACCATAGGATTATGAGAGATGCCATAGTGGAGGGCTCCGGAAATGTCGACCCCCTGGGGTTCTCTAACGTGCATCCAAATCTGCACCCAAATCTGAGCATCGTCTTTGATGATCTAATCTCTTCGTGCCGCAAAGGTTGTCGATGAATCGTTCTCGGTTCTGGTGACGATCACGAAGTGAAAACGTTTTTAAAATAATTTTTAACCTTTAGAGGAAGTCACAGGTGAGGCTGTACCTGCAGGGCGACCAGACAACAGCGCGTGCAGAGTACGTGAACGTGCTGAGAGAGGGCAGGCGGGAGTTGGGTGACGAGCGACCGGTTTTTTCTAGAAAGGCGGTGAAATGCGAGCTAGAGCGAAAAAAGGTGTTGGGTGAGACATTAAGCGAAGAGACAATTGGGTTAGAAGCAGAGGAGGCACCGGTGGGGGGGGGGGGGGGGGGGGTACGCAATGCGTAGTAATAACAACCGGTTTAAATTAATAGAATCAATAGAAAGGAATGACAAACGCAGGGTGGCAGTGAGAAAAGTGCGGTGATGAAATGAACAAGTTCGCAGGAATAAAATGGAATCAGCTCGCGCATGGTGGGCTGAATTGCACAGCGTTTAAAGAGGCCTTGGTCTTGCAGTGGACTTAGCGGAAAGATTTTACTGTCACTCCACATTCCTCCATTAGCTTTAGTCTTCTCTGTTGAAGCAGATTTATTCGCAGAGACATATTCCCGTGGTTG